GAAGACAAGGGGGCGGCCAGCCTCGAACCTTCCTGCGTCGGGAAGGCCAAGAACTGCCCAACAGGACGAAATTCACATCGCAGAGCCCTTCACCCGACGCTCGGCTCCTCCTCCGTCCACGGGCGGCCGGCACTGCTTGTCGGGATTTGGGAAAAGGGGCCGCAGAGGTCGGTCCCCGCCGCGGCAGGAAGGGAACGGCGACCCTCCGGGCCGGGGAGCCCCCGCCCCACCTGCCGCAACCGGATGGGGCAGGGCGGGGCGGCGGCCGGGCTGGGGCGGGGGGCGGGGGGCGGGTGGGGCCCGCGGCCTCGCCACCCCCTCCGCCCAGTCAATGACATTCCAACCGCCGGCGCCCCGACTCGGCCCGGCGGCTCCCCCGCGGCCCACGCGCCACAAGCCGGTCGCGACCGGCTCGTCCGGCTCCCCGCCCGGCGGAGGGAGCAGCAAGGCCGACTCACCTGTCCGCGCGCTGGCCCCGCCCCCTCCCCTCCCCGGGGGCGACCCGGCTCCCGGCCAGGGGTCGGCTGCCCTCGGCCCCGCTGCGGCCCGCGCCCCCCCGCCCCCCTTCTCACCGGCTCCTGCGGGTGAGGGCAGCGAGTGCGTGGGGCTGCGGGGGTTGCTGAGAGACCGACGCGCCTCCGTGGCCTCCGCTCCTCGCCGTTCGCTCCGCAGTGGGTAGTGGCGGCGCCGCGCGCGCCCCGCCTCTTTTATAGGCGGCCACGCGCGTTCCGGCTGCGGGCGGGCGGGCGCGAGCGCGAGGGAAGCGCCCGGGCGCGGCGCGAGGGGCGGGGGCGAGCGCCGCCGGAGCAGAGGGGGCGGGGCTCCCGCCGGGTCGCTTGCCGAGCGCTCGACGGAAAGGGCCGAGCGCTCCCGGAAGGAGCCGAAGCGGCGGTGCCGGGGAAAGTCGATTGCGGGAGCGCAACGGAACGTGGGGGAGGAGGACGCGCGCCAGGGGTGGGGGTCGATGGTGCAATAGAGCCTCTGCCTCCGCCCCGGCGGCCCGAGAGCCTCCAGCCGCCCCGTCCCCGCAGCTCGGATCCTGCAGTCCTGCCCCTCCCCGCCCTGCAGAGATTCTCTGCGCCCCACCCCTCCACCCTCCGCCCCTGGGAGCCCTGCCAGGACTGCAGCGGAGGGCGGGGCGGCCATCGCTGCAGTCTGGCTGGGGATGCTGCGCGCCCCGGCCGGAAAGACGCCCAGTCCCGAAGGGTGAGATCACCGTGTGCTCCTCCTCCTCCTGCCCACGGTCCCAGGCCACGTCTGGGGCCGCGGACTCAAGTCAACCTATGCTGCTGGGGCCTGGGGTCAGAGACGGAGGGTGATTTAGGGGCTCCGGGCTTGAGGAGGTGGTAAGAAAAGGCCAAATCCGACAATAAAACATAAAGTTGACTAATTTGGAATTAAAGTCTGTCATTCCGGGATTTGGAGAGTTCACAATTTATTATATTCTCACATAAAAAGCTTTCTCGCAGGTCACCCGTAGAACAGGATGCATTTAGTCGTATTTTCTAAACAAGGCATTAAGGTTCTTCCTGCCACAATTAATTGAACTTTCCTCATGTGCGGACGCTATGCTAAGCGTTGCATGTGTCCCCTTACTTTCTTTAAATCTTTGCAGTAATTTTATGAGGTCGGTGGTATTTCCACCATTTTACAAATGAGCACGCAGGTGTCTCACCCTCGGCCAGGCAGGTGGGTCAGGCAGCTAGCAAGAGGAAAAGCTGATTTGAATCAAGAGGCAGAACCTCCTCTTACTCAGTCTGCGTTCAGTACTGCCTTCCCACAGGAAAGACGGGCATTGTGATGGTGCATGCTGGGGTGTGGAGACAAGAAAAATCAGAGGATTTCTGGAGTTTCTGTTCTTGACAGTCTTGGCAGTTTGAGGGCCAGACTAACTAGCCAGAGCCCTGGCTTAGGACGCCCTTTCCCCACCCCCACTGGGTGACAGCGGGCCGCAGCCCTTGGGAGTAGCGTCTCATTCCTGTGCAGTCAAGCAGACTGGGAGCTCTGCAGCTCAGGAAGACCAAAGCCTCCCAGTTACCAAGCAGCCCTCCTCTTTAAATAAATATAAAGGCACTGGGCACAGCACCAGAACTTGGGCTCAGGCCCAGCCCTGAGCTTCCTGGTCTTCTGCAGTCTGCCTTCTTCCCCTCTGCCTGGGATCTGCAATCTGGTTTCTAAGTAGCCCTGGCTGTAGCCGTGACAGTGAGGAAAAATCCTATTCCCGTACTCCATCGGAGCGGAGAGGAAAGAAAAGGAGAGACCACACCCAGGCAGCAGCTTTACAGAATCTGGAGGAAAAACGTAGGAACTCAGAGGCATTTCCTGCAATCTTCTCTATGGAGAAAACAGACCAAGTAACTCCTCCCTGGGCAGCTGATGGCATTCACAGCCTCTCCTTCAGCGGATAGCAGCACAAAAATACTCAGCTCTGGGTGCAAAATGGCTAACACAATCTTAGCTCTCCAAAACTTCCAAGACCTGCTCCAGCAAAAGAACAGGTCTCAAGGCCACGGCAGAAGCTATAAAAGGGAGGGTTTTTCTTTTTTTTCTTTTTGTTAATCCTCACCCAAGGATATTTTTTCCATTGCTTTTTCAGAGAGAGTGGAAGGGAGGGAGGGAAGGAGAGAGAAACAACTATGTAAGAGACACATCAATTGGTTGCCTCCTGCATGAGCCCCAGAACCCAAAACCCAGGTACCTGCCCTTGATCAGGAATCAGACCCGAGACCCTTTGGTGCTAGGGCTGACGCTCTAACTACTTAGCACATAGGCCAGGGCAGGAGGATTTTTCTTTTAAACCATTCTGGCCTCATAGTGAAATGGAGGTTTTGCTGTTTTTGCCAGCTGCAAAACAGACTGGAGGCCTTAGAGAGAGCTACTGTATTGATACAGAAATTAAGATCTGATTAATTGATCCTTTGATCTGAGACATGGCCAAAAACATTATCTCCAGCCCTCTCCACCTCCCACTCACCCACCCACCCCAGTCAGCATTTGGCACTGACATAAGCCATTTTAAAGAAACCTTTATTCACTGTTCTATTGTCTGCCTACCCCACCTCCCACCGATTTCACCATATGCCTAACCCTGCTAGGTGTGGGAAGAGGGAGATGACAAAGCAGATAATGGCACTCTTTGTTGTCTGAGAGACACTCATTCAGAAAAAAACACACCACCACAGGACAGTAGGAGCGTAATCAATCAACTCCATGTCCTTAGTCACATAGTTCCTGGCCTCCTGAAAAGCAGGGAGTAGGGCTGAATTTTAAGCTCCTTTTTCTACTTCAGCTGTTCCCTGAAGAGTTGACATGTGCCCTAAGCTTAGGCATCTCCGTAGTCCCAATACCTTTTCAAGTTGTTCAAGAGGTCAACCATTGGGAAATGCGCTAAACGTAATGATTTTTTTTCACATGTTCTGGCCTTCAAACCATGTCAGACCTTCTCAAAAAACTTCAGTAGTTTTCATTTAGTAGTTTCAGTAGAGTCGCCTGAACTAACTAAACAGAGATTGTGGAGCATCCACAAACTCCTTCCAACTTACTTTCCAGGGCCGTTTCTTAATGCTTTTCTCCAGACCTGAGCTTAACCACTTCCTAAACAGGTTTTTTAAATTTTCCAACTACATGCTTTTCTTAAAAAATATATATATTTTTATTGAATTCAGAAAGGAAAGGAGAGGGAGAGAGATAGAAACATCAGTGATGAGAGATTCATTGATCCCGCACACTCACCACCCACCACCCACCACCAGGAACCAAGTCCGCAACTCAGGAATGCGCCCCTGACCGGAATCAAACTCGGGACCCCTCACTCCACAGGCCAATGCTCCATCCACTGAGCAAAACCAACCAGGGCTACATGCTTTTGCTTCCAATTAGAATGTCCTTTATCCCCACACCCACACCTCATTTCTGCCTGACAGATCTTACCCATGTTAAGAAGAAACTTTCTGGAAGAGCAATTTGGCAATATGAAACAGAATATAAATTTGCATGTTATTTGACACCAAACAATGTTACGTCTCGGAATTTACCCTAAGGAAGTAGGACAAGATATATATATCCCTGGCCAGTGTTTCTAAGTGGTTAGAGCATCAGCCTGTGGACCAAAGGCATGTCAAGGGCATGTTACCTGGGTGGGAGGCAACCAATCAATGTGTCTCTCTCACATCAGTGTTTCTCTCTCTCTCTCCTCCCTTCCCTCCCTCCCTTACACTCTGAAAAAAAATTTTTTAAATCAATGGAAAAATATCTTTGGGTGAGAATTTTTATTTATATATAAAAATTTTTTTTAATAATTTTTTTTTAATTTTTATTAAAAAATTTAGCAACTGGTCACCAACTGAAAAATGGTTCATTCTGATTCTTAAGTTCAAGACTATATTGGTGATACGGTTCATATTGATTGACTTGAAAACTATTTGAGATACATACCACTGAAAGATAGCAGGTGATAGAACAACATGGGAACTGGGTCGACGTAAGAGCTGTATTCGTATATCTGTGTATTTGCAGGTGTGCAAAGAGATGTTCACAGAGAGTCCTAGAATAAAAGGATTTTTGGACTTTTTTGTCCTTTTAAATTTTTTGAATATTTTTAAGTATCTGGATCAAATACTCTCTTCAAGATACTTTCTCGCCCACCATACCCTCCAAGTAAAGCAGTTCAAAAAGTGTATTCCCGGAAATACTAGGCCCAAGAGAAGCTATGGGAATAGGAGTTTCATGTGCAGTAACACTGCAAACTCTTCGTGGTTAACTATTCAAAGCAACAGTTAAGGCACCAAAAAATCTTGCAAGAAAAAAGTACTTTTTCCTTTTATTTAGAATGAAAACATTTTATTGTGGAAGATTTATAACAACAGTACAATGAACCTCCATATGCCCATCACCACCTTCAACAATTATCAACTCTGCCCTTCTTATTTCATTACTTCACCTTGTTGACCTTGAACACAGTACATAGTTCCCAAACTTCTTTGACCACTGAACTCTTTTTCAGGATCCTGCAGAAAAATTCTCTGGGAAAAGCTGCCCTAAGTGAAACGGATCTGTCTTCTGAGCTCCCATCACTTTTAGCTCAAACCATTGAGCCCTGAAAGTCCAGAAATCAGTCTCCATTGACTTAACATTCCATTCTCCAAGTCACCTATTTCACTTTACATAGGAAGCACCTTGTAAAACCTGTTTGCAGTCAACGCTCCACGCTCCACGGGGTGATGATAGCTTCAAGGTAACCTTCACTGTGGATCCCAGAGCTGGACTTTGTCACCTCATTAGACTGTCAGCCGGGTTTTCATTTGTTTTGGCGGGGTGGGGGAAGATTCTCTTTAAACTTTGAAGTAATTTCACATTTACAGAAAAGTTACAGAAATAATAACATGAAATCTCATACCCTACACCCAGATTCCCCAATTTGTTAACATTTGACCACATGTACTTTATTATTCTATGCATTACATACGTGTCCACACACGCGCGCGCGTGCACACACACACACACACACACACACACACACAATGTGCCTAGGCATTTATTCACCTCCTGCCCCAAATGATTTGAGAATAAGTTGCAGATATCATGCCCACTTACCTCAAGTACTTCATGTTTATTTCTGAAGAACAAAAACATTCATTTTTATAAGCAGAGTACGATAATAGAAGTCAGGAAGTTCATGTTGACATAATATTATTACCTAACATATAGACCTTATTCAAGTTTTGCCATTGTCCCAATGTCCTTTATAGGACAAACACACAAGAAGATATTTTTTTCTGGTCCAGGATCGCATAGTACATTTAGTGTAATTGTCCTGAAGGAGCTAAGAAAAAAATGCTTCTTGAATACGTCATCTGTATAAAGTAATTGTTTTTTTTTAGAAAGGAAGCCTGGCTGTAACCTAGAGGATAAATTCCTTTAAAATTGGTGTTTTTATAAATTCAGCAACGGCCTGAAGACTACAGGAAATCAGTATCAGAAGTTCATTAGGTGGAACAGACAAAAGGGGATGAATTTGCAGGCCCGATAAGGCACCCGTGTGAAGCTCTGGGGCTCTTTGGGGTGTCCCAGCACTGAGATAGAAGACATCCAAACTTCATTATGTCACTGCTATCTTCAGAGGAAGCTTGAGAAGTGGGGGGAAGCTCTCAGTGCCTGGGTGAAAATCCCCAGAATTCCATTCCTCTATTTCAGGGATGTGTAGGGTTTTGAATTTTCAGTTCATCATCACATTTGCTTTAAAATGATGTAGGACAATGATATGCCAACAACATGGGCACTCTGCCTGAGAAATGAGGTCAAGCCTGAAAGGAAGCAAGCAGGCAAGTGAGTACTTGAATTTAACAACAGAATTCAGTCCTCAGTATTCTACTCTAAGGAATCTGATGCTACTACCCATCAGGAGTTGCATCTATTGGCAGTCACTATCTCTGAAGGTGACACCAGCAGGGAGTATCAAAAACCTGTCCTCCCAAATGCCCTCTTCTTGGTTTTCCATCAAGAACCCATTAGGAATACCAAGCATTGAATGACATGTGCAAGATGTAGTTAAACACGTCTAGAGGCAGAACACTCAGATATCAGAAGTGTTCTCTCTGGAGTGGTGCAAATTCAAAGTAGCAGAGACCTTGGGAATCAGGCTGTCCACTGCTTTTTCACATTTCATGTTTGGTAGAGGAACTTTCCCACACATAGCCTTACAGAGAACCCCAACACATCTAGCACAGAAAGCAAGAAGGCTGTGGCAGAGAGGAACCTGGAGCTCCATTAGGGCCCCACTAAGAGGTGCAAGCTGTGAGCTGCATGAAAAACTCCAGCTGGCACCGTTCGCCGGCTAGTGTCACAGATTTTCAGTTATGAACAGGACAATTTTCCCGCAGACGGCGGTGGTATCTTAAAGGGACGCCCTTTGAAACTTTGCATAAAAGCCTCCATGTGCTGACTGACTACAGGGCCGAGCTCCATCCAGCTCCATCCACGCAACACCCTGCAGTCCGTGCTTCCCAACCTGTTCCCTGCCCTGATGCTTAGAAGATGCTAATTGTAACGTTCAGGTAAAGAGAGGAAGTGCAAACGGCACCTGGCCCTGGGGCTGCAGGCGGGCTGAGGTCAGTGACCCTGACACACAGGCTGGGAAGCACTGCTGAGACTCTGCTGAGGAACACAATTTGAAACCTACTGATGTACTGACGAGTCCACTTGTGTTTTGCAGGTGGGGGACGTGCGGATCAGAGAGGGTGAGGGACCTACCCAAGGCCACAAAACCTAAAAGTGAATGGAGCCCAAGTCTCCCACCGTTTATGCCATTGTGTGCACGTTGCAAATCTTTAATTTTCCCATTTCTGCTGGATAAAACAGGATCAGGTACTGCTACATAATTTTTAAAAAAGGGCATTTTCCCAAGGTAAAGGTCAAGAAGGCAAAGAAGGGAAAAATGTATGCTTCTCTGTACCTAGACTTGGCACTTCCACACCCCAGTGATCGAACAGCTCAAGGCACAGGAAGGTGATCATATTGAACCAACTAGATACCAGCAACGGATTTTTAAAATTCAAGTTTTATTACTTATTTTTTGGCACCATAGTAAATAATTCATAGAGCAGGTCACTTCAACAGTACCAGGGAACCTCCTCAAAACACCCCATTCCCCACACATGACATTTAAGGAGGAAGAGATAGTGGCCGCTGCCTCTGCAGTACGAAAGGCAGTAAATCTTTCAAATCTCGACTCTTATCTGAAAAGCCAGGCTTTGGATTTTTATAGTGGGTTTAGTCAGGCAAATTTATCATCATTCATTAGTCAGAACAAGCAAAAAATAATAATAATAATAATAAAGCAGTTCTCAATTCTTAACATCTCTGTTTAACCCCTGTCATTGCTTGTGGATGCTCAGCTCATGCATACTGTGGCCAGCTCCATCGGTCCATCTTCATTCAAACTGAAAACCAGACACACACAGAAGGCACCTGCCCTGGCTCACGCATCCCTTGTCACCCAGGCACTGGATTCCAATTGAGAGGGCAAACAGTGCTTCTTGGTTTAATACAACACCTGGCAGGGCCTAATCCCAGACACTGGGCTGTCCGCGATGCCACTTAGGACTAAGTCCATCCCTACATCAGGCATTTCCTCTGAATTTCTAATTACTTCACAAGCCGAGAAAGGCAAAGCAACCACAACTCAGACTCATATGTAAGGATTCGGGCCTCAACTACTACAGGACTCTTGGAAGTAGTGGGCTCACTTCAGCTCAGAGCGAAATGCTTAGGTACTACCGACTTTCTGAAAGATTCGAGACAGAGAGGTAATAAAACAGTGGCATCAAGTGCTAAACACCTCAAAATGTTTGCAAAAGTGAAAAGGCCAAATCCATTTCTTCTGTCATGTGGATCCTTGAGGAGTCATCAGTGGCCCATGAAAACCTTTCCTAGTCACAAGGCATAAATATATAAAAATACATATAGGTAGGTTTCTAACTCTGACAGTGCTCTCTCAAACACAGCTATGTTCAGTTGCTTTATTATTGCGCCTCTGCAACAGAACGGTGACGGTGGGTGACGGAGTGACATCAGGAACGCCAGAAGGAGGAAGTCAGAAAGCCCTTGGGGACAGGAATCTCCTTGCGCTGCAAACATTTCTGGTCAGGGAAAGATGAAGAAAACAGAATGACTTTCTGATAACACTGCTTCCAACACGTAACAACTGGAAGGAGCTCTGAGGGACAGGAAGCTCAGGTCCCACAGGACGGAGCTCAAAGGAAAAGGCACAGGACTGCGGTTGTGTAGGAGACTTCCGCTTCTGAACGAAGTGCCGCCCAGGACAAACGCTATGCGATTATTCTGCCTGTCCCTCTCGTCTCCCATGGCCGGGCCCATCTTTCGATATCGCTGGTTTCCCAGCGGGGCTCCTGGAACTGGAAGGTAGCAGGCTGTGTTGGCAGACCTACCGGAGCTCTAAGTTATCTGTCAACATTATCTGCTTAGAAATGTTGGCACTTAGAAATATGAGAGGAGTCTGGCTGAAAGTTCAGTCTGTTCTCGTGGAGAAAAGTGAGCAGCACACTCACCATCTCCCCTGACCTGAATCTGGGCCCGACTGGTGTGGCTCAGTGGTTGAGCATCGGCCTATGAACCAGGAGGTCACAGTTCAATTCCTGGTCAGGGCACAGGCCCAGGTTTCGGCTGGAGTCAGGGGTGTGCAGGAGGCAGCCAACCAATGATTCTCTCTCATCATTGATGTTTCTCTCTCTCTCTCTCTTCCTCTTCCTTCCTCTCTAAAATAAAATAAAAAATTTTTAAAGAAAAGAACCTTGGCCAACATGCCAAAATGTACTGGTGAGACAAGACTCGTAAGACAGGTTTTATTCATCTCTTAGGGCAGCTTCCCCATGGGCAGCATGGACAATGACATGCAGGAAGGAGAAATGGCAGTCTTTAAGGCTCTGGGGAAATTATGGACAAACAAGTAGAGTTTGGAAAAACCAAGAGGAAAAGACTGCAATCAGAGAGCCTGGAGCCCAAGACCGGTCAGGCATAGGCTCATTCGAGGCCAACAACGGCTTGGGATGTGTGGGTTCAGGGCATCTCACCTCCAAGAACTGCTTGAGGCGTATGAAGGAACCCATCTGTCCTGAGCTTGTAATGGCTTCAATCCTGCAGGAACAGGAAGAAGACACGTGGTGAGTGACACCCATTTCTTGGAAAGGAGCTAGGGGAAGGGCGCGATCAAATGACTCACGAAGATGTCTTCTAGACCAGCGGTCGCCAACCTTTCAGACCTCGCGGACCACCGGTTGGCGACCACTGGTCTAGACTAAGGATGCTGTCGCTCTTCCAAATGGTCTCAACCTTCTTTTCAAACAAGGGGGTAAAGGAGAGAAAGCACTCCTCCTTCCCAAGGCCGTTGTGATTGGGTGGGATGGGGCTGTCAGGGCCCTTCCCCCATTTGAAATGCCATGAGGTGAGAGGAATGAGAAGGGAACCTAAAGCAGATCTCCACACCAGAGTCAAGCAAACTGACAACTGACTTATTGAGGGGGTTTGACTCCTTGGTTTAATGAAAAACTGCATGTAATCACCATCCCAGATTACCTGGAGGGGGTGGGGGAGTAGGGGGGGTGAAAAATGGTGGAAAAGAATAGAGTTTAAAACAATGTCAGGTATCTGAATCCAAGATCTTCCTATTCGTTTTTTCATTTATCAACGAGAGAGACTCTTATTAATAGTTCAGCCCGGCTGGCATGGCTCAGTGGTTGAGCATCGACCTATGAACCAGGAGGTCACGGTTCGATTCCCAGTCAGGACACATGCCAGGGTTGCAGGCTTGATCCCCATTGGGGGGGAGGGAGGGCGTGCAGGAGGCAGCCAATCAATGATTCGCTCTCAACACTGATGTTTCTATCTCTCCCTCCCTCTCCCTTCCTCTCTGAAATCACTAAAAAGATACTTTTAAAAAAATGTTTATTCAGATATCAAAGAGGATTGGAGTAGGGGATGTCACACTTAATGCAGGTGTTTTTAACCAAGTCAAACCAGCATGTAACAGCGCCCAAGGGTATCTGATGTCCTCAGTTCTACCTTCCGAATCCCTGGTGTCTGCTCAACAAGGCTAATACCTGGGGAAGTAGTCCTCTTTGATGAGAAGCATCATCTTCCAGAACTGGGCCTGATACTGCTTCATGAGGGCATTCCCACACACCTAGGGGGAAAGACAGGCAAAGAATGAAAGCTCACACTCGCCCGAGAGATCCGGAAACCACCATCAGCCCTGGCCTTTCACTCCTGTCCAGAACTTCAGCCACAGAATGGCACCGGGCTAGCAACCAAGGGAATAAATGGAAAAATACAACTTTCTTCTGAAGCATTTCTCTCTATATGCCAATACCTACATTTAACCAGCCTGCCAGGTATTAATATGAACCAAACTCAATTAACTAGTCTTCTTTGATTTACTGTACTGAAAATAAGCCTTTCTAAAGGGCTGGCATACCCCCAACCGTAGTAAGCAGAGGATACAGAATCCCACCGTGTTCTCAATGATTCAGGGTCACTGTTCACGTACTGTGACTAGAGGAGCTTTAAGGTGATTAGAAACTATTGGCATTTTAAGGCCAAATGGCCCCAGATTTATGGCACGTGCTGTCTTTCTTTAAGCAGTGTCTCCTTTCAACAGAAACCCTTACCCTTACATCATAGTGGTGGCCTCTTATAAGCGACTCTAGAGAGCCTTCTGGATGGGGGAGACACCTGACTCAAGCTGTTTAATTATATTTTCTGTGCTGAGAATTATGAATCGCAATGATGGGATACCAGTCCCCCCTAACTGCGGCTGGCGAGCCACATGCGGCTCTTTGGCCCCTTGAGTGTGGCTCTTCCATAAAATACCGACTTCTGTGCATGGGCCACAAAGTTTCAATCGCACTGTATGTGCGCGCCCGCACGTGGTATTTTGTGGAAGAGCCACACTCAAGGGGCCAAAGAGCCACATGTGGCTCGCCAGCCGCAGTTTGCCGACCACTGGTATCCTGCCCTTGGTCCTGGGAGTCACTTTTCTATCCCTAAAACAAATTCCCCTTTTCACTTATGCTGGGATACACAGTTTTCCATTCTCTACAATGAGAAGACAAGTACAGCGGGAAGAAAAAGCAAAAGCTAGGCTTGTCGTAGGACTCAAGGAAAATCTGACACTAGACCCATGCTGTTCACCATCACCCCCGTGTCTGTATTGCTTCCCCACTCGCGTCACAGAGGCCCAAGGCTGCTTCGACCACTGATAACTGCACTGTGTACCTCCAAGAAGTCAAAGAGGAGGGTGGCTGTCACGTCCGACAGGGGCTCCATGTTCAGTATCTGTGCCAACCAGCGCCAGCCATGGTTTAAGCCATGAGGGTGAACCTGGGAGGAGAGAAGCGTGGTCATGATCTGATCTCACTTTATTCAGAGCTACACTCCCAATGCTATCATCCAGCCATGACCTAGTGGACATGAGCCCCACATCTCTAACCCAAGCACATGCAGCAGGATAGAAACCACCAAAGCCAAATGAACTCTGTTTTGTTTTGTTTAATATGCTTTTTTTATATTGATTTCAGAGAGGAAGGGAGAGGGAGAGAGAGAGAAACATCAATGATGAGAGAGAATCATTGATCAGCTGCATCCTGCATGCCACCTACTGGGGATCGAGCCCGAAATCCAGGCATATGCCCTTGACCAGAATCAAACCCGCGACCCTTCAGTCCGCAGGCTGACGCTCTATCCACTGAGACAAACCGGCTAGGGCTGAATTCTGTTTTTAAATGTTCCAACACTCTGAAGCCCACACATTCTTTACAGGATCCCTTTAATACAAATCTGTCAGCTTCAATTTCAGGAATTCCATATACCAACAGTCACCCTAATCGACACTTATTATTTTGCTACCTTAGCGAAGAACCTGGGACAGAGCAGGTGCACAATAAAAACTTCTTGGGCTGCCCTAGCTCAGTGATGGAGAACCTTTTGAGCTCGGCGTGTCAGCATTTTGAAAAACCCTAACTTAACTCTGGTGCTGTGTCACATATAGAAATTTTTTGATATTTGCAACCATAGTAAAACAAAGATTTATATTTTTGATATTTATTTTATGTATTTAAATGACATTTAACAAAGAAAAATCAACCAAAAAAATGAGTTCGCGTGTCACCTCTGACACGCATGTCATAGGTTCGCCATCACTGCCCTAGCTGGTTTGGCTCAGTGGAAAGAGCGTCGGCCCGTAGACTGAAGGGTCCCAGGTTCGATTCCGGTGAAGGGCATATACCCTGGTTGCAGGCATATCCCCAGTAGGGGGTGTGCAGGAGGCAGCTGATCGATGTTTCTCTCATCGATGTCTCTAACTCTCTATCCCTCACCCTTCCTCTCTGTAAAAAAATCAATAAAATATATTAAATAAAACAAAAAACTTCTTGGGTTCAATTAACTCAGACCCTTTTCTCTTTAGGTTCCCAAGTCCATTGGCTTCTCCATGTTGCTAATTGTGCCTCTGGGACTGGCTGGGCAGCTCAACTGGCTCGAGTGTCGTCCCGATACATCAGGGCTGCAGGTTTAATCCCTGGTCAGGGCACATGCAGCAACCAATGACTGTATGAATGCACGGAGCAACAAACTGATGTTTCTTTCTCTTTCTCCCTTCCTCTCTCTCTAAAATTAAAACACACACACAAAAGAGACTGAGCTGGCAGGTCAAACCTTGGACCCCAGCTGTGGCTCTGTCGCTGTCAAGTGTGTATCACCATGGCTTGCTAAACCTCCATCTGTCCATTTAAATCTAACCATAAAGCTCAATTTACAACCGACTACTGTCTGGTAGACTCTTTTTTAAAAATATGTTTTTATTGATTTCAGACAAAGAGGAAAGGAAAGGGGGAGGAGGAGAGAGAGAGAGAAAAAGAGAGAGAGAAAGAAAGAGAGAGAGAGAGAGAGAGACATCGATTGGTTGCCTCCAATACACATCCCAACCAGAGATTGAACCTGCAACCTGGGTATGTGCCCTGACCGGTAATCAAATCAGTGACTTTCCAGGGCATGGGACGCTCAATAATCACACCAACCAACTGAGCCACACCAGCCAGGGCTGGTGACTCTTTTATGAACTGGTTACTAATAATCAACATCAACTTCTCTAAAGAAGACACATGAAGCGGTGGTATACTTGAACTCAGCACGTAACTGGAGGCCCTCTCTGAAGGCCAGTATTTCCTGCAGACAGAACACCGACTAAGGACCGACCTCGCATTCTCGGCAGTAAGCCTTTCCTACTACCTCCTGTCGAGTTCCATACGGCCACCGGAGCTGGATGATGGCAGCATAGAGACGCATCATCCCGGACATCCGTTTCAGAAAGTTGTCCTGCTGCTCCACCTTGGAATCCTTCACTTGGTAGCCAAGCATTCTAAGTGGGAGGAAAAAATCAGTGTGACAAGGTCAAAATGAGAGTGACAGAGCAGAGATTACGTTTCATGGCTAAAAGTAACAACATATTATTAATACATTATTGCACATTAATGCATTTGTAGAAGAGGTTGTTTACAAAGCACTCACATCCACATCAAATCTGTACATCATATAAGTCCTGTGAGGTGAACTCACAGGTCATCATATCATTTACAAATAAGGAAAATGACACCCAAAGAGGTAAAATTATTTACCCATTTTGCAAAGTTATTCAATGACAAAGCAGGGATAAAATTCCAAAACTCCTGGACTCTAGATCCATTATTCTTTCCACTAAACTATATTGATTATTGGCACCTAAATCCACAAATTCCAATAACTGTCCAGTTTGCATGAAAAACATTGTATTTTCTGATATAACATTCAAGACGCATAAAAGCTGTGAGGAGGAATATAAATTCTACAAGTATTTTACTTCACGAATCGCCCTAGGGCTAGTCAGGAGACCGGCCTCACCTTTGATAGTCTTCCAAAGCCATTCCCTCCCTGAAAGCCGGGTAGAAAGGGACAGAGTACGGACAATTCTTGTGCAGATGAGCCAGGATGAGGTCCCCCACCCGCGGGTGCAGCTCCCAGATCCCGGACGCCACGACGGCGATGGGGAACGCAGCTTCATGGTGAGAGGCCACCTCCTCCTCTCCTTGTTTCTGGCGACAGAGATGGGGACGGCGTTAACATCGCGAATGGCTACGCGCTGCGCACCAGCCTCGTCTTCCCGCACTCGGGCAATAAGGTTTCTCACCACAAACTTCTCTGCCAGTTTGTACTGGACAAAGTCCAGGCCCTGGGGGTTCAGGGTGACGGACACAGAGCGCCCACCAGACTGAACAGGTTTTCCAGAGAGCAGGTTGTGGATCTTGTCAAAGATCTCCTTCAGCTTGGAGCCTGGGTACGAAAGAGATAAAGTGACTTAAATCAACCTATGTTTTAGAAGGAATCTACGTAAACCCAGCTGTGCAGCCCTACAGAAGTTCACAGCCTACGAACAAAATACTGATGCAGAAAAATGCATGACAATCAAAACTCATGTGGGGGAATGCAAAAAGGACACAAGACATACTATTCATAGGAACCCCTCATTTGGGAATGAACTAATTCTGAAACTGACACATCAAACAGAGGGATAAACAGTGTGGAGATAAGTGTTATTACAGATCCCACCGCCTGTGGTTGACGTGCCTACAGGAGCCACTGCATCTCGAGGGAAAACCTTCCAGAGCATCTCCCCAGCTCACAATCCCCCCGCTTCGCCGCACCCGCCTTCCTCCACCCTCAGACACAAAGTGGGTTCCTAGTAGCTGCGTTTGTATGAGAGCCTGTGTGCCCCACCCCGACATGGGCTACAGGTAGAGTTGTCAGGCTGAGCCGATCGATCAGCCAACTGACAGAGTCCGTTCCTGACGTGCCCCAGCAACGCGTACACTCGTAAGCAGTGGGACCTTGCAACTGCCACGTGGACCAAAGAACAGCCGTCTACAAACTACGCATAGAGATGCACAGAGAAGAAGAGAGGAGAGAGAACAGGGTCCTGAAGTCTCTAGCCTGAGACCTAGCTTCATTCCTGCCATGAGGTCCTCCAACACGTGCAAGCAAAGTTTAAATTAGCACAGCATTGCCCTAGCTGGATTGGCTCAGTGGATAAAGGGTCGGCCTGTGGACTAAAGGGTCCTGGGTTCGATTCCAGTGAAGGGCATGTACTTCGGTTGCAGACTCCTCCCCGGCCTGAGCCCTGGTGGGGGCTCGTGCAGGAGGCAACCAATTGATGTTTTTTTCTCTCACATCGATATTTCTGTCTTTTCCTCTCTCTAAAAATCAATGGAAAAATATCCTCAGGCGAGGATTAAATTAGCACAGCATCACCAGCTTAGAAATACCCTGCCATGGTCCTAATTACTTTAAGAATGTTCCCCTTATTAGATGTGGAGAATGAAACAGAGGAGGCAGTCAGAGGGGTGCCTTCCAGGTTCCAGCTAAGGTGACTGAATAGACAATGGTGCTACTGATTACTCAGCACAAAGAGGAGAAAAACAGGCATAAGGAAATGACAAGCTCGGACCTCACCACATTGCACCTGAGGTCTCTGAGAGCCATCCACGCAGATGTCCCGCAGGAGCTGGTCCTAGAGAATCTGAAGCTCAGAGGAACTGGGTGAGTCGGAGGTAGACTTGGGAGTCATTCATCAGCACATGGATAGTAATGCTGGAAGCCATGGAGAGATGGAGGAGAAGTGAGGGTGAGAGCAGACCCCTAGGGAACACCTACTACTGAGGTGAGGGCAGGAGACCAAGGAACCAAAGGCGAGAGGCAGGAGGAGAGCCTGGAAACTAACGCTCCATGGAAGCCAAAGGAGTCGCGTTTCACAAAGGGAAAATCAATGGCGCCAAACGGAGCCGCGAGGAAGACCAGAAAATCCTCAAAGGTGTAGAATCAAAGGAAATGTATTTTAGGGTGTGAGTGACTCATGCATGTTTAAAAGAAAAGGAGCCTGTAACAAGGGAGTAATTTCGCATAAAACAGGAGGGGAAAGCCATGAACGATGCTGCAAAGCCCTGAAGGAGATGGGAGGGGATGGGAATAAGGCAGAGGGTCAGCACGGTTCAGGACACCGCCTCCTCTGAAACAGGAGCCTGAGAGGTAAGTACAGCTGTGCACAGGTGCAGGCGGCATCGCAGGCTCTCACACCTGTCGTCTCGATTTCCTGATGAAAGAGGAGGCAAGGCAGTCGGTCGCCTTAGGAGTAAAGGCTGCGGCTAAGCCTGCGGGGGGAGTGGTGGAGGTGTGGGATGGCTGTCGAGCCACCTCTCCCCGCTGCTTGCTATCAAAGGTCAAGGCACTTTAAATTCCAGAAAGTGATACGTATTTATTTATTTATACCTTGCCCTGTTCCAGAAAGAATTTCAGGCAGCGATGTGATAGGTAAGTCCCATCATATACCATCTCAAGGGCAGAAACGGCAACCTTCCTATGCTCTGTAGGGACCCAGTCAATCAGGGGACCTGGGAGTCCCAGCTGTCCATGCGCCCCCGCCACTCGGCAGCAGGTCTGTCATTTGGAGGCTCCACAACCAGAGCGCTTGCGATAAAACATAAACCTGTTTCTAAAGAAGAAAGGAAGACGGTCTTTCCTCTGTCTGGTTCCTACTCTCTCATCTCAGTCTCCGGAGAGAAAAGGAAGGAGTCTAAAGTGCTAGCAGGACCGGCTTCGAGTCTGGAAAAGCTGGTGCAGGACAAAAGCCAAGAATCTGAGTCATGCCCTAGGCCCCTTAGCAATACTTTCTGCAGCAACGTCCAATTTTAGGTCAGAGCCACTCTAAATAATTCACTATCAACATGCAGCTTATTATTTATTTATTTTTGGTTAATCCTCACTCAAGGATATTCTTCCATTGATTTTTAGGGAAGTGGAAGAGAGAGAAACATCGATGTAAGAGAAACACATTGATTGGTTGCCTCCTGCACGTGCCCCGACCAGGGCCTGCAATCAAGGTATTTACCGTTCACCGGAATCGAACCCGGGACCCTTTGGCCCATCGCCCATCGCTCTAGCCCAGTGATGGCGAACCTATGACACGCGTGTCAGAGGTGACACGCGAACTCATTTTTTTGGTTGATTTTTCTTTGTTAAATGGCATTTAAATATATAAAATAAATATAAGTCTTTGTTTTACTATGGTTGCAAATATAAAAAAATTTCTATATGTGACACGGCACCAGAGTTAAGTTAGGGTTTTTCAAAATGCTGACACGCCGAGCTCAAAAGGTTCGCCATCACTGCTCTAGCCATTGAGTCAAAGGGGCTAGAGCTACAGCTTATTTTTTAAAAACGAGCCACCAAACACAAAATTACCACTTTCCATGTGCTGAAGAGGAAACAAAGGAGAGCAAAATAGGAGGCGTACACCTTACATACGCCTGATCCGACTGTCAACATGCAGTCAACGTGCAGTCCGTGGGCACCTTACAGGTAAGTGGATTTGGAGTCTTAAAAATAAAACCAAGTGACGGGCCGCGTTCCTAACTCCTGTGACCAACCTGCGATGGTGGAGATCTGGCTCACGGGGATAGTGGCGGCCTTCTGGAGGTCCATCTTGATCTTTTTGACCTGCCAGGAGAGAACCGGGAGGAGACAGATCGCTTTCTGCAGAGCTGCATTAGGGAAGGTCACACGAGACACATGTACCTTTGGGGCACAAGGCTGATCAGAGAACTCTGAGGCCCGGAGAATCCCCGCTTCCACCCCTTCCTACCTGACTGTCTTTGCTGCTGGTCAGTCCCTCAAAGGCCAGCACACACTGACGGGAGGCCTCCTGCAGCTGCTGGTACCACTGCATTGTACTGTCTTGTACCTTCACCTGGAGGTCTGAGGAGTAAAAGACAGGCTCTCTTAACAGTAGCTAGTATTTACTGAACACTTAATACGAACCAGACACTGTTCTCATCACCTCATGCATGCACAACTGCTTTTACTGTCTAATCCGTGAAGCAGATACTATTATTATCTTCATTTTATACAGAAACAGACGAGGAAAGGTTAACCAATTTGCCCAGGTCACATTGCTAGGAAGCAGTAAAACCAGATTCCCATTGATCTGGCTCCAAAGCCCGCATTCTCGACCATCACACTACAGTGATTCTCTTATGTTTTAACAAGCATGTATTTTGTACATATTTATTTAAAATACTCAGTAGCAGCTATACTTGGAATAATATATCTATTAGAATGATATAGAATTTCAAGTCCTCATGGCAAGTGCTGGAGTCTGAAGTCAGGCTCCACATCAGCCGATACTCAAACGCCTTCCTGCTCCTTCGCATATTCTGAACCTTACAACAAGGATCGTACCCCAGGACACTCACCTTCGCTCCGTTTCCCTCCCGGGCCCTGGCTGGGAGCGGGGCACTCTTTGCGGACCTCTGGCCTCTGCTGCATCTGTGCCTCTTGCCGCTTCACCTGGGCCTCCTCTTCTTCCTGCCTCCTCTTGTCTTCACACGCCCTGGCGTCCGTCAGGAGGTCCCGCATTTCCTGCAGCGCGCTCTCGGCCACGGCTTGGTCCTCTGCCGTGGGAAAGCCGTTCTGTCAGGGTGAGAGGCAGAGCTTTGTGGTTATGCCTAGGCAGCCTGTGGGGCTGAGTCATACCTTACACAAGCCAATGTATTTCTAGAATTACAACTGTTGTATTAATGTCTTACCACTCATCAACATGGCGATACCTACTGCTTTCCTGTTCTCATAAAGGTAACACCAATTTACCATCAACACCACTCACCAACACTGGGCGGAAAAGCTTTTTAAACATTTGTGACAAGAGTCTACACAAAAATGATATGGTGTTTTCATTTGCATTCCATGTATTAATGGTGATTTTGAATTTATTTTCAAATGTGTTAGACAATTATATTTGTGCTTTTATACACTGTCCTGTCCTTTGCTCATCTTTCCATAGTGGGATGGAGGTAGAGTGATTTATCTTTTTCCCCCTAAATTCCTAAGTTCCTAATGATAGTTTAAAAAAGAAAAACCCTCTTAAGTCGCTGTAGAATACTAGGAAAGCAACTCATTATGCTGGAAACTGATGAGGGAAAGACTCCAATATTTGTTCTTTCTTTCTTCTATAGGCTGCACCTCAAGATAATAGTTTATGGGAAGCATTTCTTCTTGTAGTTGAATTCCAGAAAGAATGATAAACTTAGCAAAACGTAAAACATACCACCCCTAATGAATAATGGTCAGCAATGGCCACTGAGCCACTAGCTCAGCGGTTCTCAACCTGTGGGTCGCGACCCCTTTGGCGGTCGAACGACCCTTTCACAGGGGTCGCCTAAGACCATCCTGCATATCAGATATTTACATTACGATTCATAACAGTAGCAACATGACAGTTATGAAGTAGCAACGAAAATAATTTTATGGTTGGGTCACAACATGAAGAACTGTATTTAAAGGGCCAGAAGGTTGAGAACCACTGCACTAACTGAAGGCCCGCAGGGATCTTCACGATGGGAGATAAGGCTGACAGTATCTGAAGCCACGGGCTGACCTGAGTATCACAAGTGGAAAGGCCATCAGATAGCCTTTTGCACCTTTGGCATGGTGCAAAAACAGTTATACCCCCTACGAAGTTGTCATGTGCCCAAAACAATCAAACACAAATCTGAGCAAGCTCCTAGATCTGTGCTGTCCAATAAGGTAGCCATATGTTGCTATTTAGGTTTAAATTAATTTTAAAAGTGTTTTACATTACAATACAACTCTCAGGCCCTTGCTGGTTTGGCTCAGTGGATAGAGCTTTGGCCTGCAGACGAGGGGTCCCAGGTTTGATTCCAGTAAAGGCCACATGTTGCAGGCTCGATCCCCAGTAGGGGGCATGCAGAAGGCAGCCGATCAATGATTCTCATCATAGATGTTTCTCTCTCTCTCCCTCTCCCTTCCTCTCTGAAATCAATAAAAAAATATTTAAATATTTAAATAAATAAATAAATAAATAAAATGATGTCACTGCAGTGTTATGCACAATAGTGAAAATATAGAAACTTAAATGCCCACCAATAGACATGTTTTTTTTCTTTTTTGGGGTGTGTGTGTGAAATCACAGGGGCCAGCACATCCGGAGCGCAATGGATAACCCTGGCCTGGGAAAACCATCTTCGTGATCATGGTATCTCCCCTGCCAGGTAAGTACAGACATGCTTTTTTCAATACATGTTGGTATGGTTATATGTTGGAAACATCCAATTTCATCTATCCATCCAATACTTATTGACTACATACTACGTGTTAAGGCAATACTGGCATGTTTTAACAGTGCCTTCAAAACATGGATATTTTAGTAATTAGAGTAATTATGTGTTCAAAATACATTAACTGAAAAAAGCAATAAAAATTTCTGTAAGTTTTTAATATTGATAAGTATAGCAGGCATTCAATAGACATTCCTGAATGAACGAGATAAAGTATTTTGCAATCAGAAAACACACTTTTTAAACCTAAGATGAGAGACTCTATGAGCCCCATGTGGGACGGGGATGACGCACACAATCTGCAGACAGAACAGAGTCCCCTGCAGCCCCCTCACCTCTGAAGTGGTCCGAATGATCCCCGAGATGAGGCCGCACAGCTGGTTGCCTCGGCTCCGCAAGGCCAGCAGGTCCACCTTCAGGTCTCTGTGCTGGCCCACGGAGTCCAGCTGCTGGTTGAGGTGCAGCAGCTCCTCCTGCAGGGCATAGAGGCTCCGCAGGCGGACCTGGCCTTCCTCCCTCCGCAGCCGCTCCTGCTCCACCTGCTTCAGGCGCTGCTGCTCTGCCTCCCACAGCTTCAGGTTGACAATCTATAGAAAGGGCTGCCGAGTTACCTCTCTGAGGGGTTCCTGGCCTTCTCTTTCTACATCCTCAAGCTCTATGTGGGCCACATATTTTCACAGACGGACCCAGAGCAGGAAAGGGCTGCCCAGGGTCAGTCACACAGAGGCAAGAAAGGGGCCAGGTCCTCCACGACTGTTTGCCAGAACTGACTCTTCGGGAGGTTACAGCCAGACCCCGAAACCCCCACACGGGTTCTCCCAGGCTCTGACCTTGGCTCTGTGGCGATGCTCAGCTTTCAGCTTCTCTTGCTGCCCCAGGGCTTCTCTGGAGCTGAGTGAGGAATGGCAGGGAGGACCAGTCAGGGATGCTGCCTAAAATCGTCTTCTCTCTTCCTAAAACCGTCAGTTCCAGCTGACCCTCCCGACATTTCCAGTCCTACTTCAGGACTCACCTCTTCTCCATCATTTCCCTCAAGTCCTGGAATTCTTTATGATGCTTCAGTTCCTTCCGTTCATCAAAACGCTTCAGCTGTTCAGATGCCATCTCAGAGAGCGCTCGCACCTTCCTCTCCTGCTCCTCCTGCCACAGCCTCAGGCCCTCCTGCAAAGGATCAGCCCCTGCTCGCCAGAGCTGCACTACCACCTCGCTCCCTTACCCTGTGGAATACCCTCCCGTCTGTCCTTAACTCTAGCAGATGTCCCAGGACATGCAATCATCCGCGTACTTCTCCGAACCTCTGCTCGGTCACCTCTCTCCTTGGGGTGACCTTTAAACTCAGCCGCAATCTATCAAAATCCTTATCCCAATATCCTAAACTTGCGAGGTACATTTCTACCTCAATCCTTTCCTCGTGTCCTTATCTCTGCCTAGATTTCCCCCCACATCCACTTATGCCTAAGGTCCATCTTCTCAGGATAACCTTATCTTAAAACCCCAGGACACCTTCCAATTTTGGAGAAGTAAACGGAATCCAGGAAAGCCTATGCAGTTTTCCTAAAGTCACATGTAAAACAGAAGAGGATTTGAAACTGGATTTGACTTGAGAGAGCTTAGTCTGGATTGCTACATCACACTTCCTCCACAAACGAGTCAGCAGCTGCTAGCACTCAGTAGGGCAGGATGATCAGCACACAGTGGGCTTTCATAAACCCTGAGGAACTGCACCTAAATGCGGGTCACTTACTGTTCCTCTCATTCTGTGCACCAGCTCATACATTCGGATGCAGCCTTCCACCTTGATGCCCCTGGAGGACTGCAGTAACATGGGCTCTGTGTGCTGGGACTCATGTTTGCCCTGTACAGACAGAAAATGGGAAAAATTAAGCTTTTAAGATGGTATAGTTGCTGTTATCCCTTCAAGACAAAACCCGCATTCCTACTTATAAACAACAATGAAAACAAAACAAAGGAGGTTAGAACTAGTGAGCTTTTCGTGATACTGACCTTGTTCTCTTTGTTTTCCTTAAACACACACACACACACACACACACACAGCACAAGGAACAACTTATTTTCTGCTTGCTTGTTTTGATCTGCCCAGCAAATTTCTCCCCTTTTTTCTGATAGTGTCCATCTGTGCCAGGATGGTTTGGATGGAGCAACCCCAATCCACATCCTCAATTCTTTCACCTTCCTGGCCTCAGGGGCAAGCAGGTGACCAGCTAGCAAAGTCCTCTAGCCTCCTGTAGCCAGTATCCACTTCAGCAATGAGGCTCAGAGCCAAGCGAGGCCAGAGTTCATCTCTGAATTTCTCTGATGAAGCTATCTAGGAGGCATTCTCTAACCTAAGAAGGTGTGTGTCTAGTGCTACCAACAGCCATCTTGCCACATTGAGTCTTCCTGAAAAGTGAACCCAAAAAGCGTTAGGCAGAATCGAGAGGCAAAGCCCTGTGTGTTTGAGAACTGGATCAAGTTGGAAATAATGTCAAGCAGAGACATACAGTAAACAGACCATCATTGCCCTGGCCAGTGTGGCTCCCGCCCCCTCTCCCTTCCTTGCTCTCTAAAAATCAATTTAAAAAACATACACAGAGAATCCAGGGATATTTAAACGATGGAATAAAATCATTGCTACATACTTTCAAAAAAAAAACAAACATAAAACAAACAAACAAAAAACAGTCAAATGGTAGCCCTGGCTGCGTAGCTCAGTTGCTTGGAACATCATCCTGATACACCAAGGTTGCAGGTTTGATCCCTGGTCAGGGCACATACAGGAATCAACCAATGAATGCATAAGTAAGTAGAACAAGAAATCAATGTTTCTCTCCTCAAATCAATAAAACTTATAGCCCGGTGTCACTCATTTTAGGGGATCCCTTGCTGACTATCTGTTGTCTTCATATGGACTCAATACTTTCTGGCATAAAAACACATTGCCATCAATCAAACAAGCTTTCTGGTCATGTTATCCACCCACAAATTATATGTCTTTTCCAATTAGCTGAACACTTATCATGCACTGTGGTCATTAACTTTTTTAGTTTCAGATGCAACAGCCAATCTTGCACAAATTTCTTTTTCCTTCTTCACAATTTAATGGATGGAAGATTCATTGTGACCATAGATCTTAGAAATGTCAGCATACAATTTTTCCCCCTTTCCTTACTAAGCTGAGAACTTTCACCTTTTGACTTAAAGGAGGCACTTTATGGCTTCTCATTGGTACATCCAGATTGCCAACATCCCTACTCCTCCACTTTGGGGACATTATTAAGTTACTTGAACATTACAGTTACAAGAGTTACTTGAACATCAGCACTACAACACTGCAACAGCAGATCTGATCCAAGATGGCTACTCAGTGACTAATGGGCGGGTAGTGGGCACAGCATGGAGATGCTGGACAAAGGGACGATTCCTGTCCCAGGCCGGACAGATCGGGAGGCCCGGCATTCATCACGTAACTCAGAATGGTGCACAATTTAAAATCATATGAATTGTTTATTTCAGGACTTTTCCATTTAATATTTTCAGACTGTAGTTGACCGCAGTAACTGAAACCATGGAAAGCGAAACCTCAAATAAGGGAGAACTACTGTATACAGGCAAACTACTTTGAAAATATACCACTAAAAAAACCAAAACAAAACCACAAAAAAAGACCATTACCAATAACAATTTACTGGGTTTTCTTAAAGTATCTTCATTGATTTCAGAGAGGAAGAGAGAGGGAGAGACAGAAACAGCAATGATGGGCAAGAATTATTCATGGGTTGCCTTCTGCATGCCCTCTACTGGGGATGTGCCCTTGACTGGAATAGAACCCGGAACCCTTCAGTCCGTAGGCCGACGACGCTCTAGCCACTGAGGCAAATTGGCTAGGATAACAATTTACTTTGTAAGTGAGAGAAACAAACAAAGGCAGTGACAAAATGGAGCGAAAAATAGGTAAAAACTCAGACAGAACTAACGATAAGATATGTAAATCCTATGCACAGGTTAAATTTTATTCTATGCCCCCAGCAGCCAGCACAAAAAGGGAAACTTTACTAGTTAAACAGATGCAAGGTTCATGTGGAAAACAATCCAATTGCTCATGACATTAGCTACTACTCTCGGTACTAAGAATAGACGGCAATCTCTCTCTAGGTCTTCATAAGGCGAACACAGGGTGATGTGGGCAACACTGTCCCTATAAACAGCTACCAAGAAACAACCACGACTTTATGCAGGGCAAAGGCATTGTCACATGATGACATTACACAACTCAACTTTGCAACCACCCCTGTCGTCTGTCTTCAGCTGATCGAAAACCTTACCTTGGTCCCACCTGGTGTTGCTGGTGTTCCTGGGGATGCTGGTGAGAAGGCAAGGCTTCTGATGGGAGACTTGGGAACAAATGAAGGTTGGTCCAGGCCTGAAGTGGATCTAGAGGATGTTGACGTCTCAGAGGGAGACAGGTTCTCTTGTGTGTGGGGTAGGACATGATCTACCACCCATCCAGCATAAGAAGATAGCTGGGGAGTGGATACACATTCTTCTAAAACATCCTAGAGAAGAAGAAGAAGATGTGAAGCTCAACTTGCAAGTAAACTGAGATGGACTGAAGCACTTCCTGAGAACGCAGCCTCATTTCTGTGGTATTCCTGTTAAGGATGTCTAACCTGAGTATACACCAGACAGACCAATCCTGGGACTCAGCCTCTAGAATGTAAGGTATGTATTTTTTAAAATTGTCAAAGATATAAAAGACAGGGGAACGCTTTAGAATTGTTTTACATAAAAGTCTAAAGAGACAGGGCAGTAGCTAGATTACCAAAACTCCGGAACAGGAGGTATGCCTTAACTGTTCCTACATGCCCCCTCCACCTGGCGGTCTAGTACCGAACACTGCAAATACAGTGATCACGCCCCCATAAAACTTCACAGGTCCGTCCAATGTCATCTAAAACTCTGTGCGATCAAACTTTTGGCCCGGTGCATAGAGCGCCGGCTTGAGGACTGAAGGGTCCCAGGTTCGATTCTAATCAGGGGCACATGCCGGGGTTGCTGCCTCGATCCCCAGTAGGGGGCGTGCAGGAGGCAGCCGATCCATGATTCTCTCTCTTCATTGATGTTTCTCTCTCTCCCTCTTCCTTCCTCACTGAAATCAATAAAAATATATTAAAAAATAAAAAATTTAAAAGTTTGTGTGTGATTCTTCACTTGCAGCAATACGTCATATTAATCGTTCACTGCAAAATCTGCCCCTCCTAGCACAGGCAGTAACTTCACTGACCCTGGGGGCAGGGCTGCTTTGACAACAGAAACGGAGGCGCCTAGTGTGGCTGCGGGTCGCACGGAGCCTTCAGAACGAAGAGCGCCTCTGAAGGGGTGTCCCGAGCGGCTGGAATAGGCTGGGGAGAGCAGAAACCCTAGGGCAGCGTGGTGCACAAACAGGAGTCGAGAAACAAATGCGGGTGGTTAGAAAGGACCCACGGGGTGCCGGCGTAGCGGCCACAAGGGCTACAGCCGCCTCAGGATCCACTGCTCACCTCGCCCCGCAGGAGCCAGTCGCGGTGGTAGCAGAGGCGACCTTTGTCGGAGCTGCGCAGCGCCTGCAGGGTCTCCCAGCAGCGACTCTCGGACGGCATGGCCCGTGCTGCAGCCGCTCTTCAGAGATGCCGCTGGTGGAAAAACAAGCCCACGAATCAGCCGCCCCGTAAACGAGCGCTCGCTTCCGCTTCCGGGGCGTGCTCTCAGTTGTACACAGCAACACCGCCTCCGGAAGACGGTACGCCCCACTTCCGGTTCCGGGTCTCCAGTGCGCCTGCGTACCCGGAGGGCCGGGCCCTGCGGGGAACTTCAGACCGGCGCACTTCAGAAGCCTGGAGCCTCCTTGTGGTAGAAAGTGGAATACGTAGTATTGATGAGGATGTGAAGAAATTGGAATCACCCCCACACTGCTGGCGGGACCCTAAACGGTGGCCGCTGCTGTGGAAGTCAGGCATTTCTTCAGAAAGGTTAGAGTTACTATACACCCGAGAGAAATTAAATGTGCGTCCATACAAAAACTTGTTGAAAGTTCATGGCAGCATTACCCAGAATAGCCAAAAAGTCTAAACCCAGATGTACATGAACGGGTATGTGCTACACAACAGGGATGAACCTTGAACACATTATACCAGGTGGCCGAAGCCAATCACAAAGTTACATATTACATAATCCCATTTATGTGAAATGTCCAGAATGAAAACCCACAGAGACATTTAGACTTTTATTAGTGGCTGCCAGAGGCTGGGGCTGTAGGGCAATAGGGAGGGGAGTGGCTACTAATGCATGAAGCTTTCTTTTGGGGGAGATGAAAATATAAAATTAGATCATTGTGATGATCGCACGACTTTGTGAATACACTTAAAAACCACTAAATTATACACTTTATTACCCAGAGCCAGCTTTGATTCGGATCCTTTAACTTTGTAAAAATGTTTTGATTTCAGAGAGAGGGAGGGAGAGGGAGAGATAGAAACATCAATGATGAGAGAGAATCATTGTCTGCCTCCTGCACGCCCCGCACTGAGATCGCAAGGTGGGGTGGGGGGGTGTATATGCCCTGACTGGCTTCCGTGACCTCCTGACTCGGATTGACCCTCGGTTGATCTCTTACTCCCCTCCCTCCTGTCCCCCAACCCTCCCTGGCCTTCCCACTGCAGTTCGACAATCAGTTTGAGGCAGCTCTGCCACTGTATTTATTATTGTTCGAAAGTTTGTAATGGTCTTAATTATCCACGAAAGAGTGAGATCATGTGGTATTTTTCCTTCATTGACTGGCTTGTTTCACTTAGCATAATGCTCTCCAGTTCCATCCATGCTGTTGCAAATGGTAAGAGTTCCTGTAAAAATGTTTTGATTGATTTCAGAGAGAGGGAGGGAGAGGGAGAGATAGAAACATCAATGATGAGAGAAAATCATTGTCTGCCTCCTGCACGCCCCGCACTGAGATCGCAAGGTGGGGTGGGGGGGTGTATATGCCCTGACTGGCTTCCGTGACCTCCTGACTCGGATTGACCCTCAACCACTGAACAGCACTGGCCAGACCCGATCCTTTCACTTTAGAGTCTAAAGTTTAGACTCTTCTTTTTTCTGTCTTAGGGGATTAATTTGAAATAGAAGGCTTCTCTCTGGAGTTTGAAGCAATATAAACATTTTTCTTTTTTTTTTTACAAACTCTGGACAAAGAAAAACAGAACATTATTATTATTTTGGTGCGTTGGCCGGGAAGCAAACCCAAACAGAACGTTATTAGGAGAGGTGTTTCCCACACCAGCATTATAAATACCCATGCCCTGCACTGAGGTGTTCATTGGTTTGATGAAAATAAGGATGAATTATATAAATAGGTATGTACATTGGTGTGAGTGCCAACTGTCCTTTCTAGGGAAGGTCTTTCATATATTGTCCATGTAAGTTCAAGTCCATTTGTTAAGGGTGTGAAAACAGGCTTGGCTTTGTGGCAATGGTGGCTAGTAGTTGTTTTGTCAGAATTTCCTTGGCAAAATTAACAGCTGGAAACGACAGATGTCACCAAAATTTGGGGGTGGGGAGGGAGTTTTCTGGTCATGAAATCCTGACGCCTGGGTGTGGCCACTGCCTTTGAGGACATAGGGGAATTCTCTGGAGTTTTGGACTTGGGTTATAGTGGCTGAGAGAGAACAAGACTGGATCAGCCAGAAAGCTTAATACCAGCTAAGTGGAAAGGTTACGTTTCAGCACCGTACCAAATGTGTTCTCACTAAAGAATTTGTTGCCCTGGCTGGTGTGGCTCAGTCGGCTGGAGCATCTTCAGAGAACACATACCCAGGTTGTGGGTTCAATCCTGGGTCAGGGTGGTGTGGGAGGCAACTGACCAATGTTTGATGTCTCTCTCTCTCAAATCAATTTAAAAATCTTTTTGTTGTTGTTGTTAATCCTCACCTGAGGGTATTTTTCCATTGATATTTAGAAAGAGTGGAAGGGAGGGGGAGAGACGTGATGTGAGAGACACATCAATTGTTTGCCTCCTGCACATGCCCTGACTGGGGTCCGGGATGAGCCTGCAACCAAGGTACGTGCCCTTGACTGGAATCAAACCTGAGACCCTTCAGTCCGAGAGCCTATACTCTAACCACTGAACCAAACTGGCTAGGGCTGTTGTTCTTTCTTTTAAATACAGGAAAAATGTGAAGAGAACAAAAATAAACAATACATCATTCAGAAACCAATTAACATTGTAAAAAGTCATATATACACACATCTCATTTTCTTTCTCCTAACAGCTAAAGTGGTCTGCACCCCAACAATGAACAATGCCTCCAGTCATCGCACGAAAAGCGCCCACAGGAGAAACTAGCTGGGCCACAATGAAATGAAAGATCTAATGTTCCATGCACCAAGTACTTTAAAAATAGTTCCTGGCTCCCATTAATATTATACTTAATCATTTTTAGAAGAGGGATGGGGGTGAGTAAAGGAAATCATCCACGGAGTCTTAAATATTGATTATAAAAGCTTTTTGTAAAGCAACACAAATATTTCAAAGATAAATGCATTCCATAGATACAAACCTGGCAAAGAGAAACAAAAATTAATTATCTTGGGATCACACTTTTAAAAAGGCCAACAGGACATGAGCCCTTGAGTGTCTATTGTGAAGTGTGCGGGGCAAGTGGCCTTAAGGAAACTCGGATACGAGAGGTTTCCATCGGGCGTGGGAAAACACCGCACCCAGGACATAAGGAAAAGCGGAAGTAAATGTGCCCACAACCCAGGAGGGGTGGTGAGGACCTCTGCTGGCTCAGGTCCAAGAATTTACTCAAGAAATATATTTCTAGAAAGAGGGCTGTAGGGGACTGGTGGAAAAAGTCCAGTCCACACATTCTCTCAGGAAAGGAATGCGCTAGGTCACAGTGAGTTAAAATCTGGTTCCCTCATAGTAGTAGATTTAAGGCCTGGCAAGGTACTTAAAAACTTCCTTCAGGCAACTCTAGCAGAGAGGGGAGAACTGAGTGGCTCCTGCTGCTTCATGCCCTGCTGCTCTAGGGACTGTCATGGAGCCAGTAGCTAAGCACAAGATCCTAAACACACACTTCGTCACTGGGAGAGAGGAAAAGCAACAGGCTTTCCGGGTATGGCTTGGCAACTTGTCAGTTCCCATGGCATCGGTCTGGGCTCCCGGCCCAAGACAGGCGGGCTCAGACAGGAGGAGACCTGGAGCGGATGGGAGAGCTGGTCAGGTAGGTAGTGTAAGGACTGTCCCCAAACACGTTGGCATAGGACGACTTGAGGAACTGGACGTAGTTCTGCATGCTGCGGTTGGTGCTCTCCGACTGCTCCAGGCGATCTTTCAGGTCTTGCAGCCGGCTCTGGTAGCGGCGGTCAGCATCGTCACGGCTCCGCCGCAGCTGGGTGAGTTCAGTTTTGGCCCTGCTCAGCTGGGTCTCAAGATCCAGGATTTTGTTCTGGGCTGCTCGTTCCTTGGAGACTGCGTGCTCCTTGGTTTGCTCCACCTGCCTCCTAGCATCTTCAATGGCGCTCTCCAGCTGCCTTGTGATGATCCTTGTACAACTCTGAATATACTAAAAACCATTGAATGATGCAGTTTAAATTTGCATAAATGTGATTTTCATGGTATATAAAATGATATCTTAAAGCTGTTAATAAAAAAATAAAAAGGATCTGCCAGGGCTATCCTTCCGGGATAGAGAAAAATTAAACCATGTTCTTTTCATAAAACAACAAAACACCTTGCCCTGCAGATCCCAGGAAGCCCAAAGTTCAATCCACTCCCATCTCTTCTGCCCTCTGCCCTCCAGCCCGACTCACATCGTCACGGCTCCGCCGCAGCTGGGTGAGTTCAGTTTTGGCCCTGCTCAGCTGGGTCTCAAGATCCAGGATTTTGTTCTGGGCTGCTCGTTCCTTGGAGACTGCGTGCTCCTTGGTTTGCTCCACCTGCCCGGAAGGAACAGAGGTGGAGGTGCCCACCTGACGGTGAACACCTAGCAAGGAGAAGCCTGCGCCACTCCACTATCTGGTCTCAAGGACCACACTTGCACATCACCATGGCGAGTTGTTTGGGGCCTCAGGGTGGGAGCTAACTATGGGGACCACCTCAGCAACCATCTTTACCGGCCCTTTCCCAACACCCCATGAGTCATCGTCACCTAAGATGTGACAAGCCTGTCTGATCCCGAGCAGGCAACACTTAAATGAGCAATCATGAGTCAGGGGTCAGGTCCTTCACAATAATTGCTCACTTGATCCTTAAGGTAATTCACGAGGCAGGTACTACTCTAGGCCCATTTTTTAGGTGGGAAAATACGCTCAGAGAGGTTATGTGATTGGGCCAAGGTCACAGGATTAGTAATGGAGTTGACACTGACCTGCCTCCTAGCATCTTCAATGGCGCTCTCCAGCTGCCTTGCCAGGGACCCACATTCCCGTGTTTTCTCCTCCAGCCGCAGCTGGGACTGGTGGATTGCCTCCTCCCTCTTGGCAATCACCTGTAGGAACTCGATATTCTGGGCACTGGTCGCCTCCAGTTTCCTAGGTGAAAGCACCCAATCAGATCCTGTTCATCCCCATACCTGCCCTGTTCACCCTGCCAGGGGGCTGCAGCCACCCTGGACCAGGGCTCTCGTCACGCAGGGAACCTCCAAGGAGCCACAGGAATAAACCAAAGGAACCTGCTGATCAGCCAGGCGGCAAGGAACTGCAACTGGAGCAGCTGGTTGGAGAACCGTGTGAAGGCAGGAAAAGGAAGCAGACTGAGCGCGGTTGTGCTAAGTGTGCACATCTTCATGTAATACAGCAACGGGCAGCTCGGGAAGGTGGGTTCCCTTATTCCCCCCCTTTCAGATGAAGACGCTCAGCCTCAGAGATGTGAAGTCACTGGCCCAATGTCACACAGCTGATAGGCCTGTCACCAAAACTCATGCCCTCACTTCTGTTCACTGCTGCCTCCTTCAGCAAAGGGCCTTCAGCCGGACCACTCAGCATGACCATCCCGATGTGCAAGCGCAGTCGCCACTGCACTTGTGGAACATGCTCCACTTTAAGGAGCCCTGCAAGTCCTGCCGAGTCCAGCTGCATGTCTGAGGCCAGCAACGCAGAGTAGAGGTGAGGTGGGGCCCAAGAGAACAACTGGTTCAAGTTTCTCCCTGTAGGCTGCATGAGCAGGTACAGCCTCCCAGGACCTCAAGCCCTCATTTCCCAGATGCTAGAAGCTCTGGAGGAAGACAGGAGGCTAAGTTGCAGCTTTGCCAGGTACCAGCTGAGTGACCTTGGGCAAGTCACTGAACTCTCCCGGAGCTGTTTCCTCATTTAAACTGGGATAATACCAATACACACCACCTATACTGTACATTTTGTTTGCCAGGTAATGTGCTGAGCCCCTTGAAGTTATCTCATTGAAGACTCACAATAACCCCACGTGCTACACTACTTTCCCTGCCTTGGTCCCTTTCTCAAGATTAGTAATCAGCTTCTGATTCCTAAAGGTGTAGTATTCACCCCTGACTGCCTCCTGTGTCCACGGGAGAAGAATCAGAATGCTTGTGGGAAGGATGATCGGGAACACAGAGCAGAGTGGGGAGGAAATGCCCCACAGCAGCCTGCAGGCCCTGCGGGTTTGCTTGGACCAAGTGTGCCTGACAGGTGGTCCTATGGGTGGTCTGATGTTGACCACTGTCTTCTGGAGCATCACCCCCGGCAGGAGACCACCTTCCTCTCCCACAATGCTTACCACTGCGCTGCAAGCAGCTTTTCCTCTGAGGTCTGCCTAGTACCTTCCAGCACACTAAGCCCAAAGCAGCTAAGCGGCTGAAAGTCTCAGGTCCTAGGAAGAGGACAGAGTTGGAACCAAGTGCCTCTAACCTCTCCAGTTCATCCACCTTCAGACTCAGCTGTTTATTTTCCTTCTGGGAAGCCTGGTGTTTCTCTCTCGCCATCTCCAGCTTGTCCCCCTGATGCTCGATCTAAAATGACAGGAACAGACTGGTTTACGAAAGAACTTCCGGTGCGGCCCCCCTTCTCCCTGACCTGTAATCCACACCCAGGAGAGGCATGCTGCCCTCAGCAGGCGTCCAAGTCTCCACACACAACCTGCAGGAGAGAGGAGAGCGGGGACAGGTTAGGGCCGGCTCCCCGGCTGGGCTTGCCCACACCCAGAGCCAGGTTGGATCCGCAGAACCACGCCGACGCTTTCTTTCAGGAGAGGCCACTCGGTGGGATCCGGGGCCGGCAGGAGAAGCAGAGCAGATGGCAGGCCCACAGGACACACCGGGGAGCTCTTTGCCAATCACTTTGTCGTCGTGCTGATTTCCTTCTCTCCTTAATTGGGGACAAGTGCGGGCAAGGCAGGAGGAAAGCTATCAGTTCGTTCAGGCTGGCAAGTGCGAGAAGTTATCCAGAGGGATGCTCTACAGACCTCAGGTATCTGGGCTTGCAAGGCCCTGAGATGCTCAGGTTCAAGAGCACGAGGTAATTGAAGATACCGGGGACACGGGCTTGGGAACCAGACAGAGCTGGCTGGGTCCCAATCCCTGCTGATTAAGTATCAGCTCGGTGACCTCAGGAAATTCCTTCTCCCTCTATGCCCTGGGCTGCTTGCTATAAAATGTGCAATAAACCTTACAAAGTTCCTAGAAGAATGGAGGATGGTGGAGCACAGGGCATGTGCTCTAGAGATGGTAGCTTTTATTATTATTAGTGAAGCAGGTCCAGAGAGGGAAAGGGCCCTGCCCAAGGTCACCCTGCAGATGAGAGGCATGTCATTTCTGAGGCATCGTAGGCATGGCGCCCATCACCAGAGGCAGGCTGCTTCTGGGAGGAAGGGAGCCCTCTTTCAGGACAGAATCTCAGGCAAT